CTTCACTTCCATGGAGGAAATCTTCAGCAAGAACGAATGTCTAAATTGAACTCGTGTACAATATTGGTCTAATTGAGAACGATAATGTTACTAGATTGATAGAATGTGAACCAACGATGAAATAGTTTTCCATTTTATTAATAGAAAAAACTTAATATTGCATAAATAATAACATTTCAAGTAAATGTCTTCTTATACATATATTTGTTTCCTAGTATAGCTAACATCTTACCAGATTTCTTTTTGTGCTCCTTGTTCGATATTTCATTGCTCAATTATTTGAAGATGCTACTTTATGAGGAAGTGAAATGTGTCGTTTGTTTGTCCATTCATTCCGATTAATTACACTCCAATTTCTTTGAAGAAAATAAAATAAGGGGAAGATTTCATAAGCGACATCAATATTTTTCAAAAAATAACCAATTGAAATTTTTTAATAAATCACTTAGCCCATGTTTGATTCTCATTTTTGGGATAAAATGAATTATGGAATCGTAGTTTTTTGCATAATGTATGGTTAAAAAATAAGGAAAAGTTTTTGAAATATGTATATAATTATTTTATAAAAGAATGTGTGGTTGAAAATGAGTTTGAAAAAAACACATTCTTGAAAGATAGGGTTCAAATAGAGGCTTAATATATAATTTGCTAATACAAGTAGTTGGACAACATGCATCACTCACTTCTTCACATTTCATAGTTGCATACACGAGTCGATCTCTCTCATATCAACTTGGATATTATATATAGCACGCTTTCATACTTCTCGATCACTTGATAGTTTACATAAAGGAATCGAACTATTCCCTTATATCAACTTGCGTCTTGTACATAGCATACTTCTATAGTCATGTATCGGCTTGTTCGACCCAATTTTTTTATCCGTAAATTAGGAAATGAGAACAATTTTTTCCATTTTTTTTCAAGAGCCAAAAAGGGCCTTGAATTAAATATATGAATGAGATTCTCCTTCCCAAACAGGGAGAAGATTCTCTCACCTCTCTCCTCCTCCAACCGAGGAATCACCTATATAAAGTCTCTCCTCTGCACCACCATTCAAGTATCTGAGACACACACACTCTCTCTAACCTTTATCAATGGCGCTTCGTAGAACATTTGCAAAGCGCCTCTTCAACGCCACCAACAGAGAATCTTCTTCTCCATCACTCACTATTCTCAATCACTCGCCCAAACCACCAAATGCTGCCAAAGCCCAATCCCAATCCCCAGACTCTGTTGCCACCGGTTTCTTCCGCCGCTTCCTCCAGCGTAGATTCATCAACAACAACTCCTTCCCCTCCAATCTCCCCTCCTTCCTGACCCTCCCGGTCGGCGACAAGCTCCGAGAGAAGCTGAAATCACTGAACATAGCCGGCGATAACCGCCTCCACCTTGACGGGCTGAGCCCACCGCTTCAGCCGGTGGAGGAGGAGGACAAGTTTGGTGTAAGTGTGAAAGACGTGAAGAGGGTGTTAAGATTTGTCCAGTTGGAAAAGGTTAAGGAAAGGTTGAGAAATATTCCGGCGAGTACAATTGCGTACGGCGAGCTTATACGGATATGCGATGACGTGTGTGGGAATAAAGAACTGGGGCTTGAATTTTCCAAGTCCTTGGATGAATCTGGAAACGTCATCGTTTTGGGCAACATCGTTTTCCTCAGACCTAATCAGGTATTAATGAAAAATATTCAACATTAAGCAAATAAAAATAATTTTTTTTTTTTTTAAGTCATAGGCTTGAGTTAAAATAAATTTTTTAGTAAACCATGCCAAGTTAACACTAAATAAAAGTTCAAACAAGCACGTAACATACTTCGACGTGCTCAAAATATATGATTAGATTAAAATTATATTTTAATCCGTACCAAACGGGCTTTTAAATAAATAATTATATTTTTAGTAAATTTTAATAAAAATAATATAATGTATAATTGAAAATTTATGGATCCCATGTATTATGTGATAGAGATTAATTATTAATTTTTGCTTAAATTTTAATAGACTCTTATTTGTGTCCAGT